ATAACATATTCATCAATGTCTATTTTACTTATATCTACATGAATAATTATCTTTTCTTTCTCATTGTCTTAGAGATCAACAATGATGATGACGACAACGTTTCACGTACACGCACGAACGCATCTGCTGAAATGGCATCAGATACTATGTTAGCATCACACATAACTATGATAAATAAGAAAACGAGGCATAGAAAGACAAGAGAGAAAAAAAAAGAGTGGGACGAGAAAAGAAAGTACGAGCAAACTAGTAAATAAAGACAACAGAAACAAATATTTACATGTATATATACATATCCTTTGGGAATTGTTAAATCTACAATAATATTTTGTTTTCTTATCAGAAAAGTTCATTCGAGTGATTTTTTTTTTTGTAATAAACGAACTAAATCATAAGAGACATATCTACTCTAATTAGATACTCTGTTAGACTCTGTCTTATAGGTCATTATTATACAAAATGTAGAAGCAAACAAAGAAACTCAATGCTTCACAACAGAAAAGTGAAGAAGAAAGAGAAAAAAAACGAGAAGACTGACTCCCAACTCAGCAGTCAGATTTAGTCATTCATCTGTTAAAAACAGCAGTAACCGAGAGTCAAATAAAGATCGAAGTTATATAATCATGAAAGCAATAGTGATGATGACGTGCGTACACACTTTTTGTATAAGAATAGGAAGAGGTCAGAAGACGTGCGATGGCGTACGCAACAAAAAAAAAAAAAAAAAAAGAAACAAGAAAAAAAAGAACATGAGCAGTAACGTTCATACACGCGTGAAGCCTTTTATAATGCGTATGCATTGATGAAAAGAAAACAAAAACGTCTAAGAGAGAAATTAATTTTTTTTTCTAAAAGTCGGATTAAAAAGAAAAAGGTGATTACAAGATCTTTTTTTTTTTTTTTTTTATTCATGGATGAAATTCTATCTTGTCTGTTGTAATAATCATATAAAACATTAAATACACTTCATATACATATGCTTACAACATTGTCCTTTAAAAATAAATGAGTATCATATTCATAGAAAAAATTCGATTATATGTAACATTCGTTCTTTTGCATATCAAAAAAAAAATTTCCCAAGACTGAGAAATCTGTTATATTTTACCTTGTTCAATGCAGAGTATGAATGAATGAATGAATGAATGAGAAGATCGTGTAAATGATGTATATACATATGCGTGAACATCACATTACAATATCGATCAATCTACGTGGATGTATCACATGCATATACTCATTATATTATTGATCAAAGTTCTTTTCTTTCTCGCGTTCTTTCAATATCTTGTCCACCCAGCTCATTTCATATATATATATATTTATATATATATATATATATAGGTTGGACTCATCATTTACCTTAGCAATTAGGCGTGAAAGAGAGGTAACAAGAAAAGCAGCGAAAAAAAGAACGACTTGATGATGGTCAAGTTTTTTCTTTTCTCTTACCTTCATTTATGTATATAAACTAAAGATTGTCATTTAATAGACGTGTATAGAAAAAGCGAAAAAAAAACGAGAGAAAAGAAAAAATTGAATGAATCGATGATCTTTACATACGTTGTTCGATTAACATAATACGACTGTATATATTTTTTTCTCTTCATGTAAATTGATCTTATTCTTGCTTGATGAAGTTTATAAAAGTAAAATTGAGGTGATGATTGAAAGAATGAAAGAAAAGAAGAAAGACCGATTGACAACAACAAACGATTTAAACATAGAAATGAATAAGACGTGATGATGGCTAGACACTTAAATATTGAATAAGACCTAAGAATAGTTGTAGTGCTACTTACTTATAAATGACCCCGTGAGCTACTCATCCTAATGGACAGCTACCACCTACCATCAATCAACGTATACATCTAGTGTTTCCTGTTCTTTCGTGCAGCACGAGATTGAGTCCACTTAATGGACAATGAGTGAACAAAACAAAAACGTCCTATGTTCTGTCTTTCACCTGTATATACAGACAAACGACGAAAGAAAAAAAAAATAACTCAACATAAAGAGGATTATCAAGTCGTTTGTTGTCATGATCTAAATCTTTTGCATGTTGATGTGAAGAGAATAGCTGATTGATTAAAAAAAAGAATCAAAACGAAAGATGAATGAGTCACTTATATATATATATATGCAAGAGCGAGGATTGTTTTTTTCATCTTTTTCGTGATGATATTTTAAAAAGAAAATTGTATAATCCTTCTTCATCTATTTGTATTAAAGTACTTCAATGAAAAGAATTTCATTAACTCTCTCTCTCTCTCTCTGTTCTTGTCTGTAGGAGATGATGACAAATTGTATAGCTAAAAAATAAAATGAAAGATAGAAAGAAGTCACTTGATTTTCAAGTAGATGGAATTAGATTTTATGCGATCTTAACTTAAAAATGAAATCAATTATTTTCAAATCAAATCAAAACATATTCAAGTATTCTTTTTTCACATGAACATCATCACATGTGAATATACATGTTGAAATAAGTAAATCTAAATTTACTCTATGAATTGGGTATTCTATGATGGAATACAACAATTATGAATTGCATTTTTACTCGATGTTGGAAGAACATAATCAATTGAAAATCAAGAAAAGTTGAACTTGTTATAAAAACAAATGATTCTCTTGATAGCATATACGTACAATTCATTAAAGCACATATGATTAATACAGTATCATTTAAAAGTTTGAACAGCTGCATTTGATAATGTCTTACAATGCACATACTATCACTTGTTGTTGAATCATATTTACAGCTAATGTACTACCAATAAGAAGCACACGACCATCAGTTAATAAAATTGCTATAGGACTTTCACAATAGCTAAGTATCATCGGTTCTGTTTTTGATCTATGTCAAATCATAATAGAGAGCCGCTTGAATATTGTCTATAATTCCTCAAGCAATAAATATAAGTTCATTTTTTAATAGTATTGATGAATGTAATATACGTCTTTGGGTTAAATTACTTGAAATAATATGCTATGTTTTTATACTAATATCATATTATTCAAATGTATTTGTTCGTGATACAAATAATTTACTAACAGTAACTAAAAGATAATTTTCATTTTGTAAGTAATGCCATTGCATGATATTGATGATTTAGTTTTGTTGAACTAGTTCCTGACCATATTAAAGTTGAAGGTGTATACATGTTAGATAATGACGGAACACCAGCTGTTCAGTTGTTACCATTATAATAATAAGATACACACATTATTCAGTTTAATAGTAGTAGGCATATTAGTTCTTGTTGATGATAGTTTATTCGAAGTGATCAAGTAAAATTCATTTTTTTTTTAAATTAATCGTATAATAAAACGATTTGTATTCATTTGAACTTTTTTCACATATAGATGAATATTTCATTTGAATCTATAATGTAAAAATATATTCTTGTAGATTAGTTGTATGACCTTCAAATTAAATATTGTAATAAAACAATAAAATAAATGTTTTTGTTTTTCATTATTGATACATATTACTCGAGTTGGTATTGAAATTAATATTACCTTTGTTGTTTATTTATATCGGTTATAAAGTGAACAGATTAGACTTGAATAGAATTTGTTAATGATCTATATTTTTTTATTTTTGAGATTATATTCAAGTTTGAAATTTTATATGTGCATTGATTTCCTGTTTGAAAATCTATTCTGTTATTTAAAATAGAATTACTTGCATCTTTATAACAAAAAAAAAAAAAACTAATTATAAAATTTTATTTTTATTTTACTTGTTTGGACTAATAATAGATCTAAACCTTCACCAGATTATGGTGAATCGACAAATATAAGAGTCAATACAGTCATAATTGTTATGTCAAACACTAAGCTTAATATGAATACACTAATTTATATTGTATAGAATAATAAAAAACGTATTAATTGGGTATGACAGGCTTTTTTTTCATTTTTTTTATTTGTAGACGTTTGTGTTTGTCGATTGAGGTCTATTGAATCATCTATTTTCAAGGATTGTATTTATATGTAATATAAAGACATTTCATCAATAGTACATTTAAGCAAAATGACAATACGTTTTTAATGCTTTTCGTAATCCTTTAATATCATTGTTCTATACTACGAATAGTTACCTTCTAAATACATAAATAATAAGAACAATACATTTGGTTTATATTGTACATAGAAAAATATAACAGCACCACACTATTCAAGGTAAAAAAAAACAAACAATACAACTCAATAATTTATTTTTCTATTTTTTTTTGTATCATGAACCTATATGATTTGATATTATCAAGTAAAATCATATTTTTTGATTTTATTTCTTCACAAATAGAAAATCTTTTTTTTCATCAGCTCATTGAACGAGAAAATTTCAACACATCTCTTACAGATTTAGATTCTTGCACGTTGAAAACCTTTAATCTATTGTTATAAAATTCAATTATTTTCTCCAAATAACCTCTATCCTGGCAAAATCGAAATTAATCCAAGACTACCACAGTTTAGTAATACGTTCATCGTTAGTCTTTTCGTATATTTTTAGATCATCGTGATGTTGTACTGAAGATCAGTGTAACCGTTACATTGAGTTCATCGTCAAGATTATATAAGAAATGTTTAGGATGTGTTCGTAGTAGTATATAAATAATTAATAAAAATTATCTCACATCTTCAGAAAGACTACTAGATTCAAACAAAAAATTTTATTGAAGTTAGAAGTACGATTCAGATCGAAAATTTTTTTATCAACAAGGTCTAGATCCGAGCATGAAATATACTCGGGTTCTGGTCCACAAATTTTGTTATTGGTTGTACTCTATTTGAAATAGATACTATCGATTTTTCATTAATTTCTACTGTGTTCGAATGTAAAAAATCGTATTGCTTATCGTACCCTCGATTTAATTTGATATACAGGTCCCAAAAGAATATATACAGAACGAATAAAAGTTCAAAATATTTTGAATGGCTATGTTATTTTCTCGATGAATTGTGATCGTTCATCTAAAGTTTTGTCTTCCATGTCGGTAACATTATCACGACAAGGCGAAGGAAACAATACTACTACTACTACTAATAATAATAATCAATTATCTTCATCTCAAACAAAAAATTTGAAATCTCCAATAAATCAATTCTATTGTAATATATGTTTTTGTCCATTAATGATTCTACAAAATATAAATCGAGCAAGTTTTGTTACTAGTTGTGGTCATTTTTATTGTGAACAATGTGGACAATCAAGTAGAATTGAATTATTTCGAAATAAATTTTATTTCAAAAAATGTTTTTTTTTCATTTTTAATTTTAAAGCATTTCAAGGATTGATGCCAACATGTAAAATATGTCAATGTTCATCAACAAATTTAAATTGTATGGATTTAAGAAAAGTATAATTTTAACAATAGTTTGTTTTTAATTATTGATTTGTATTTGTTTGATTAATAGAAACAAAATGATGATGTAGATGTGATGATTTCATCGAATAGTCGTGCTCGAAAATGGTTTGAAGAACAAACACGACATCGAACTTCTGAACAAATGATTGCAACATTAGATCAAGTATTTAAAGATAAACAAAGAAATTCTTTTTTTGTTTTATTGAATTTTTGTTTTTATTTAGCGTAATGCATTTCTTAATAAACAAAATGATTTTTGTGTTAAAACAATTCTTCGACAAGTAAATATTGATTTATTATTTTTATTGCAAACAAAAATAAAATTATTAGTTTTAATAGGCTGATTCTGTTCAACATCAATTACCATTTGATAAAATTTCTTTATTCGGAAATAAAATGATTCAGTAAGAATACTATGATAAAATTATAATTAAAGGATACTACCGGATTTAATAATCTATCTTGAATCAGGATTTCATATATGTGATTTTGTAGAGCACTTTGCAGAGAATCGAATCATGTATAAGAAATCAAGTTTATCTGAAATTTTGATGCATCGAGGGTCCATATACTGGTTATTCTCCTTAAGAAATTCATATTGCATTCATGAACATTATGATTCCTAAGATGTTCTAAGATAAGTTTATGTAAATTTCGCTTTGAATTCGATTTGATACAGTTATAGATGCTCTTCAATTTTCTTTAATCAATAGTTTTCATCGTTGCTCTCTTCATCCTTGAAAACGATCCCATTTGTTAAGTCTAGGTGGTCTATGTTGATTATTGTTACAGAAAAATCATAAATAACACCGTTGAGTATTGTTGAAATATCATCGATGTATCGATCTCTCGCATAGGAAAATAGAGTATTTTAGGGAACAACCTTGCAAATAGACAACGAGTTTCTGCGGTTTCAAAAGATGTTATCTATGAAATGTAGAAAGCACGATAGTGTGTAATTTTTGAGAAAGTTTCATATAAATACTCACTTGTTTTATAACATAACTTGAACAGACTGAAACATCATATGATCAAAGCAATGATCAAGTTTTAAGAAAAAGAACCATTTTTAAGTATGAAGAAGGCAACGATGAAGATTATTGATTAGAGAAAACTAAAAACCGCTTATAATTGTATCAAGTTGCGATTAAAACAAAATTTGAATAATTTTATCTTTGAAAATATTAGGGACTTTAATGTCTATGAATACCATATATATATATGGATCCTCAACACATCAAGATTTGAGGAAAAACTTAATTTGTTATATACTGTTTTGATTCTCCGTAGAGTGGTCTACAGAATCACCAATATAGTATTCTAGTTCAAGATAGGTCATCGAGTTCGGCAGGATCCTTTATTATTATTTTTTTTTTTTACTAGAGAAACGAAACAGGCATCAGAACTTTTATATAAATTACTTAATGGACTTAGTCAAGCAAAAATTCGATTGACATCACAACAACAATTATTTTGCCAACAAGTTGTTGAACGAGTTAGTTTATTTTGTTTTCTTTATATAATATGAAAAACATTTTTTTTTCTTTTTTTTAGTTTAAAACAAATCATAAATAAAAATACTTTTTTAAAAATAAAAAAAAAAGTGATATAGGCTGTTTGTTCTTTTTGTAATAATAGAAATTTTATATTGAAAAGATATTTATTTAATAAATAGTTTGTTTTGATTATTGATATAAAACTAAATTAAGTAACAAAAAATTTCTTTCTCGTAATTTTTAATTGATTTGTCTAAGCTCTTCCTTACAAGAAAAGACACACCATTTTAGAATAGGATATGATTAGACACCTTTCATGAAAACTTATACATTTGAACAAAACAAAATAACTAGAGTCTTCTATCACAACGAGATATTTCATACAATTGAATGTAATGATTTTCTGCTCGACAAAATTGTATGTAATCTATTTTTATCGTTTATGTTATTATTTAAAACAAATTTTCAATGGCAGATTTATTTAATTAATTCATTCAGATTTTAATAAACTAATGTCGACGTCAGACTAAAAGATACTTTGTTCGATAGTAAATATGTCAAGAATAGAAGTAATTAATGATATGCGATTTTCGTTAGTTGGTAGAGAAGTACCTGGAAGAGATTAGAAAATTTGACTAGAAAAGGTAGTTTGAGAGCTTGTTGAGAGAAAAAAACCATTGTCTCATGAAATCTAATTGAATCAAGCTGAAAATTTCAACTTACCTAGCTCCATGACAGTTCAATGCCTCTTTGAAAATATCAGCAGTAATTTTTCTAATCACGTATGATGATATACAAATCGTTTCTTGCTGATCCTAAACAAGGCTCCCAAACATTCAATAAATGATATAATGAGCTCAGCCTTCGGATGAAGAAATATCATCTCATATACATCACATCTATGGAATAACGCGTCCATACGAAAAAATCCGAGATAGTGAAAATATGGCTATACACTATGTTTCTCCTTCACAATGCGGGTAACTTACGAGGGCACGTTTCAAGGTACACATTCTCTTTTGAGTTGAAACTATGCGCATCTTGTAGACCTTCACGAGTTATCACTGTAATAAAACAAAGTTGGTGTCCATGGCCTGTTTCTGAGGACATCGAACGTTTGTATCACAGTGATAACTCACGAAGGTCTCAAATATGCGTATAGTCTCGACTCAAAAGCGAATGTGAACCTGGAAATGTTCCCTAGTAAGATCTTTACCTTTGTTACTATATAAATAGCAAGAGTAAAAAACAAAAGCTGTTTGCAGTTTCAGCAACAGCATAGATATATATCTCACTAAACAATAATTTATGAAACGGAACTTAACATAGCACATTGTTCTAAATTTCATCTTCTATCGACTACATAGGACTATGGTAAAATTTTTACTTCTGGTATTTATCGTGTAAAAAAGGATATATAATATTGATGAAAATATTTGTTTTGATTTCGAATATATTAATTTCCTTCGGAAAAAGATTCTCTATAAATCACACTGTTAAAATAACTTTTACCTTCTTCAATGCGTGAATAAGACGATATTTTTCAGCATGAAACTTCAATTCAAGTAGCATCTCTGACGTAATTTGTATTGCTCTTGTTAATGATACTTTGAACAATAAAACCAGGTAAATATTGCAGTTTACACAATAACTAGTTAGATACTTTCGAAAGAATAAAAAACAACATGTTGTAATTCTATCGCCAAAAAGACCTAAATAGATCAATAGATTGATCTAAAATCTTTATTTCTAGCATATTAGAAACTATAGGATGTAATCTGACAAAAATCAGATGTTTTTAGCTCATCTAGGTTTTGAGATATGCATAAAAGTATATGAAATTATCACACTACATAAACTGATAGCCCAAACAAGACCCTATAATTCTATTATATATCATCATTCTTCAGTCGATTTGATAATATAAGAATTTCAATCAAAGCTATTCACTTCTACAATTAGATAAATAAATAAAAATTTCGCTTCTATATTTGTTTTCAGCGTTCATCTGTTAGAACAGCTCAAAGATGATATTGAAAAGTTTTGTGAAGAATGAAAAGAAAGTTGAAGATGAATTAGTCGTAATCTTTTTCAAGTTTACGACAAATCTAAAAAATTATCTTCCAGTCATCATGATACTCAACCAAAATTGATTCCACTCACACTCATTCATCATCAAATGATAATTATTTATTCGTGTCCAAAAATTAAAGAGTATCATTATTATGTTGTTTTCATCAATTAATAACCAGTAAATCTTCTCTATCTGTTTGAGAAGCGAACGATGACTTTCAACATAGATTTCCATACCATAATTTTACTGCATCCAAGCAGTTGTATATTGATGGTAAGTTTGTTCAAACATTGTGTTTGCGTGACTCTAAATGGTCTTATTTGAAAGAGCAGAATATTCTGCACAAATCATTATACAAAGTATTCGAAAACAGTAAACATAAGCTGCACTTATGATGAGCGAAGAGTTTTTGTATCGATATTTTAGCTATGTTATGCAGGCTCAGTCTTCTCAATCGCTTTCAGAATAGATTTACGAAGCACCCTTCTCTTAAGAGGTGCATGTGGCTTTGACGAGTTACTTGTTGGTATAGTTTTCTTGTTGATAGTTTATTGACCAACAATTTTCGATAGCAAATACTGCCTAAAATGTGATCGGATGGGTGTAAGTATAAGTGTTAGTGATATTTTCTTCACTGATCCTCATGCCAATACTCGCTCTTCACCATAAGTTGAGCTTATGTTTATTATTTCTGGGTAGCTTTTATGAGGATTTATGTAGAATATTCTGTTCTTTCGAATGAGACTACTTATAGCCAGGTGAAGGAAATGCTTCCACAACTGCGTCTCATTGTGCATCAAAATATATAGCTCTTTCTAAAGCCATGAGAAGGGTCAATTGGTCGTTTTAGGCGTCTCTATTCTTTGAATCATATCACCTAATATTTTTACTACAAACAGAGCTCGACTTATCCTAGTCGTAAGTCTTAATCTGAAGTTGATGAGTGCTACTTGCAGTTAGAATTCATCGTGCTCTATATTAGCGGCCAAAATCTTAGATCAAAAGATTTACGTTTAGTTACTCTTAACCTAGTAGCAGCAAGACTTTTGATGACTACTGTAAAAGTAAAAATTCATGAATCAACAAAATTCGTCTTAACCATTGATTATCTTATTTATCATTAAAAAAAAAAGTATCATTTTATCATTTTCATTTGATTTCTCTGTCTGTCCGGGTTTTTTTTTTCTTTTAATAATAATAATAGAAGTAGAGAATAGTAGAAGAAAACCAACAACATCAGACAACAAGAAGAAGAAAAAATGAACGAAAGAAAATGTGTGTGTGTATGTGTGTACAGATGATAATAAATGTTAATTAAGCGCGACGCGCTATCGAAATCAGACAACAACAAGAAAAGAAAAGGAAAAAACTGCATACACACACTTACACTTTTTAAAAGCTGATAGAGAGAGATCGATGCGCGCGCATTATGAATGATGATGATGAATAATAATAATAAAAAAAAAAAGAAAAACCTTTACGTTAGGAAGGGGACAAGAAAGAAGATATAGAATATATACACATGGCGCACATGAGAGATATTTGGGTGTTTTTTTTCTTGTTTTGGCTTTTCTTCGAATGTTTTTACATGGGTACTTTATCAATATCATCCCGTTGTTCTGGTCGATTATTAACCATAAAACCAAGTTGTTTAACATCGATTTTTTGTCCTTTCATCTTTTTAGCTTTTTTCTTTTGTCCATTACTTGATGCTAATTGAAAACCTTCATCACCACCATTACCAGAATTTGTATTCGATGATGTTGGTGCCATAGCTAATTCATGTAAACGTTCATTATCTAATTCCGGCTAAATAGAAAAAAAATATAAACCAAAAAAAATTATTCAATTATTTTTATCATAAATGATATACTTCAGCATTTGCTAATTGTTTACGTTTTGCAATAAAATCATTAGCAAATTCTTTAGTTTTTATAACAGAACCTATATATGGTTGAACATATTCGACAATTTCTTCCGGGCTATCGATATCTTTCAATAATTGAACAAGTGTTGGAACTTGAACAAATGAGAGAGAAATAAAATTAAAAGATATTTGAGGAAAAAAAAACTCGAAACTATGTTTTTATTTTTTACCATCAATAGCTTGTAAATTATCGTTAAATTGTGTTTGTGTCCATTTTGATAATGCATCTTGTGTACGCATTGTTGTAAATAAACATTTTGCTTCACGTTCACTTTTGGATAATTCAACGTTTGCTGGATTTGTTTTTGTTGTTGACGATGGTACTGTGGCAGATTTTAATTCAGTCCATGGTGTTCTATTAAAAAAAGAAAATTTCAATAGTTGAGAAAAAAAGGAAATTCAAATCGAATTTCTTTTTGTTTTCAATAAATTTAAAACTAAATTTTGTACATACGATGGTTTAGTATTACTAGTTGCAGTAGGCTTAGTAGTTGGTAATGAACTAGGTTGATTATCTCCCCAAAATATTGATGATGATGATGGTGTAGACTGTTGAAAAATACCACCCCATGCTGGTGTTGATTGACCAGAAGAACTTGAATGTGTTTGTTGTTGTTGTTGTTGTTGTTGAATTTGTTGTTTTGTTTCATTCTAAAATCAAATTAGTTCAAATAAAACAGCTGGTAGCTCGATTCGTGTGAGATTAAAATATGAAACACGACGCAGCTGCTCTTGTTTATTACAAGAGAATTGTTTTATTCGTTCTATTTTGAGATATATTTCTTCACCATTGTTTTATCTTATCCTTCAAAAATGTGATAAGAAAATAGTTCATATATAATAAAAAGGCGTCATTAACATACGGCGGATAAGGTCAAATGTTGTGGATTCTTCCAGATCCGAGTTTCGGGCTTCCAAAAACTTGGACTCACAACTTCTTACTTGTTGGATCTCACTTGCATCATACAACTAAAACTATTCCATATAACTGAAGATTTTACTGTTACTATTGGTTTGACGATTCTTTTTTTTTTTGATCAATTAACTGTTCAATTTCTTTTCTTCTTGTTAATATAATGCTTTCTTCAACTAAGCGACAGCTTTTAACCCATTAAGCATAGAGTGATGGGAACATGAACAATAAGAAATAAGTGTACGCTAAGTTTTTGTTTGAGAGTCATTAATAAATAACTATAATCTTGATGCTTTACTTGTTTAGATTTACAAAGTGTCAGATGTTGATGTAAAAAACTCGAGTCTAGACTTGATCAGATCCACTTGCAGAAGTTTAGCTTTTCTAAGGTCAGGGTCCACAAAAACGTACATCCGCAGCTTCGTATTATGATAGTCTTTAACTAGCGTCTTTCACGCCTATGAATTAGTCTAAATTGTTAGCCCTGTACTCCAACACTCCTTTTAGATCATTTTTTTTTTTTTTTTACAAATAAAGAAAATAAAAATCTTTTTATTTTACTTGAGATTGTTGTTGTTGTCGTTGAATATCTTGAAGTGATGATGTATTTGATGCATTGTTTGTTGCATTCCATGGTGTTGATTGTTGATTAGCAGTTGATCGAGATTTAGGCTACATAAACAGAAAACATATTTTTCAAGTTTTGTATGTTTTTTTTTGAAAGACTTATTGAACATCAAATAAAATCATGCAATAATATTACAACACAACATACATGAATATTTAAAAGAGAAAGTACCGCATTTGTTGCTTGTTGATTATATGATGTTGTTGGTGAATCAGGTAATGTATTCTCATTAGTTTCATGATCTGATGAAATAGTATTATTTCGATTATTATTACCAGCAAATAATGTTCGAGCCCATGAACCAGGTTTATTTGATGATGATGGTGAATTAGGAATATTTGAATTTTCACTTTTAGCCTAATTTAATAAAAATAATTAATCTAATTAAATGATTGTTGATTTCTTTTTTGTGACAGATAAATAAAAAAAATAGAAATTAGACACATAATATCCGCTGAACAAAAACATAATAATTAGAAAAAAAAGTTAATGAATAATTTTTTGAGAGTCCTTTAAATAACATTTCCTTTAGAGATTATTAAGTATTATTTTTCAAATGTCAAAATGTTCTGTTGAATTTTTAGAATATCTAAACATACAAGATGTTGAGCAGCAATAGCTGCTTCTCGAGCACGTCGTTCTTGTTCTTGTTCTTGTTTTTGGATTTCAACAAAATTTAATGTTTGCATTTGATCATTATTATGTGATGGATGTCGTGCCCAATTTGCTGTTTCTGGTAATTTGAATGTTGGTTGTTGTGGTTGTGGTTGAGATTGTTCTCGATTTTGTTGTTGATAACGTCGAACATTTTCTGCTCTAAAAAAACAAGAAATATTAAAAGTTTATGTATAATAATCAAAATTATTCATTACTTTTGTGCTTCAATTTTAGCTTGTTGCTCTTTTTGAAATTGAAGCGATTGTTGAAAAGCTAAAAATGGATCAATTTCAACTTTTGTTTGTGATTTAATGGGCTGTTGCTGTTGTTGTTGTTGTTGTTGTTGTTGTTGTTTTTTCTGATCCATTGTTTTAGCCATTTCTTTCATTTGATCAAATATAATTTGTTTATTAACAGTTGTTTCATTTTTTTTACGTAATTCATCTTCAAATCTTTGTTTTTGTTCTAATTGACGGCGTTCTTCTTCAAATTTTTGTTTCTGTTCCAATTGACGACGTTCTTCTTCTTCACGTTGTAAACGTAATTGTTCTGCTTGTTGTGCCAATTTTAAACGTTCTAATTCAACTTCACGTCGTTGTTGTTCAACACGACGTTGTTCTTCAACTTTTTCTTGTTGTTGTTGTCCGTGATTTTGCATTGCTTGTGCAAGACGCGTCATTATATCATCTGGTTTTTGAGATTGTGAAATTGGTGAATTTGTACCAAAAAATGATGTTGTTGATGATGATAATGTATTTGGTTGTGATGATATTTGACGAAATGAATGATGATGTAGTTCATCGAATAATGGTTGTTGTTGTTGTTGTTGTTGATTTGTTGCTGATATACTTCGTTGTAATTGTGGTTGTTGTTGATAGACTAATGCAGGTTCATTAACTAAATTTGATGAAAAAAGAGATGATGATGATTGTGATTGTTGTTGTTGTTGTTGTTGAGAAGCAAAATATGCTTGTAATTGAGAATTTATCATTGTTGGAGATGTAACTGGTTTTCTATCAGCTGTTGATAAAGGCATTGATGTTTGTCTATGAAGAATATCGTGAAATTAGGATTGTCTTTTTTAAATAAAAGAGATGTGCAGTTTACTGATCATCACTGATTGAGTGGCTAGCTGATGACTCACTATTTTGTATTGGTATCAACATTTTACATCTTTAGATGTAATGTATAAGAGAAAAGGCATGTAATATGCATTAGATTTCAATATCAAATTCTATTGTGTCTCAAACTGAACTAATTCAAAATGAATTCGTATAAGAAGAAAATTTAATTGTTTGTTACTTGTTCGCAGCCATCAATAGAAGATTGATTTAAAAGTAAAGAGAAAAGATTACTTTTGATTTAAGCTATCGATCTCTATGGCATAATGCTAACGAGAGAACTACGCCAATTGACATCTACTGTTTGAGTTTATATTGGATGCAAAGGAAGGCCTCAGCGAGAATAGCAAAAGTCTAAAACGGTTCGTCTTCATCAGTTCTTGTTATAGGAAACAAGTACACTTGAAAATTTAATAATTTAATAAAAGAACATTCTTTTTAGCTGAGTTACTTGATCTTTTCCAGAAGTACCTAGAATGGGTCAAAAACCCAGTAAAATGATCATAACTCAACATCAAAGTCGAATAGGGACGAACCCTTTTAGGCATTTTCTAGCTCAAGAAATAGAGCGCCAAAACTCTTTATCAGACTCGTTCTTTTTTTTCTCTATACGTCAAGTGTGAGTTTTTTGTAACTATACCTATTAAATAATGAATGTTGAAGATTTTGTCTTGACTGTTGTTGTTGCTGTTGTTGTTGCATTAAATACTCATCAATATAAGCATTATTTGCTGTTGATGGTGTTGCATACAACATAGAATTAAATTTTTGTGCTTCTGATACAATTGGCTGTTGTTGTTGTTGTTGTTGTACAGGTAGTGGAAGTGTTGGAGCATCAGTACGAAATGGTAAACGACCTAATTCTTTTGTTAATTGTTGTATAGTTGAAAATTGTGTTTCGCCCAAACGTTTAACAGGTAAAAGTATCGTAAAATATCCAGCTGCAAACCATCGTTCCATATCAGCTGATGAAAATGGACCTTGTACTGTATTTTGTGGATCTTTATAAAACCATTGTTTATCATCAATAATTACAGGTGGTTGTACACGTTGTTGTGGAATAATTGGTACAACAGCTGGTGGAGTTGGTTCTATTGTAATAGGATGAGGAGTTGTATGAATAGATATTGGTGGAGAATAATCATGATCCTAAAAGAAAAAAAAATCAAAAGATTTTACAAATGAAAAGAAAAAAGAAATTCTATACATCAGCAAGTGTTGATTCAACTACAGTTGTTGCTACATCACTCGGTTCATATTCATCATCCCATGTTGAAGGAGTATGTTGTACAGGAGGTATTGATTTAGGTTCTAGTATATTTAAAGGAAAGATATTTGGATAGAAGATTGTTGAAGAGAAAAAAAAATAAAATAATCTACCAAGAATTTCTGATGGTATTGGAATATTAACAGCAGTTGTATCTATTGGTGGTGATGGTGATTTTTCACGTTTATTCTCATCTGGTGGTTTTGATGATTGCTTTAAAAGAAAAAGAAAAAGAAAATATTAAATTAAAAAAAAAAAAAATTTTCAATAACTTACAACATGTACATTTGATGATGATGTATCATTAGTTGTAGATTGAGGTTTTTGTTGTTGTTCATTATTATCATCATTAGTTTGTCGTTTTGATGATGTACTAGTAAATGGTTCATCTGATTCGAATGGTGCACTATTCAATTGATTATCATTATCATTATTATCATTCATCCATTCAGGCATTCCTAAATAAATATTAAAAAAAAGGATTATTTTTTAGAATGACTATTTATTAATAGAATAATCTTACGTTCTCGTTTTGTTTGTGGACGACGTGAATTAAGATCACGATCAGACATCGCCGTATTTGATCGCCATCCACGCGTTTGATTTGACTCATAGCTATTTGACGGACCTTTTTTTTTGCAAAAATAGAAAAAGCATGTTAAGTTTTTAAATCTCTAAGAGTATTAATTATTTTTGTACCAGGTCGATCATCTGTATGACTCCATTTATCATTGGATTTTGTACGATGTTCCATTGATCCACCACTACCACCGCCGCCTCGTCTTGTTTGTCCACCTCGAGATGCCCAAGAGGTAGAAGCATTTGTAGATGGTGATAAATCTTCACCTTGATCGTGATTTTCATCCTCATCTCCTCGTGATCGACGCCACGCTTCAGATGTTTGACGTGTACCACCACCACGACGAAATGATTGAGGTTGTTCACTAAATATAAAATTCTCAAATGAGTTCTTCAACGAAATATGTTCGTCACAAAATTCTAGGCTTCATATTTGTTGGCAACTAGAGTAAAATATAAACAAACATGCATCCCAATCTGAGCTCGATTGGATGTAACGTATAAAAAAAAACTTAAACTTTTTTTCAGAAATTGATTATGAGAAAAATGCAAAACAAATTTTCTTGTATGTATCAAAACCTTTTCTTCTTCGACCTAAAGTAATTGAAAACTAGTCGTGTTAGAGATCAATGGCCGATGCTCTCAGTACCTTTAGAAATTATCATTAGAAGATTTTTGCCTAGAAAGATTAATCATAGCGCGAGTTGGGTTTGATAAGAGTGCTAACAAAACAACAAAGAGTTCTCATTTAACAGAGGACTATGCGAGCACTTAAATACTAAAAATCAATTGAATTCGAATTTTAATCCATTTGAAATTCTTCTACTAGAAGATTTCTTAACCTTACCGATCATCATAAGACCGTACACGGTTGCCAAACGCTCCACCGCCACGTGAATGATAACCACCACGTGACCATGATGTTGATGAGGATGGTCCTGATGTATCATCACCACCACTACCTCCTACAGTTTCACCACTATCTTCAGAATTATTATTTCCCCGAGTTGATCCAAATGTATGATCACGTCCACCTATAACAAAAGAATTAATTTCTTTTTTGTGTCTTTAAATCAAAATATGAAATATTCTTTGATTTTACCTCTGCCTCTCGATCCACTACCACGTCCATTTGATATTAAACCTCCACCACGATTAGTTCGTGTATCATGTTGCTGTTGTTGTGATGGTTGTGAATTATTTCCACCGCGACCACCACCACCACCTGGTGTTCGACCAGAAATATAACTTGATAACGAATTCATTTTAGCCTAATTAACATTAATTTTAATAAAAAAAAAAAAACAAAAAAAAGCTATATCGTTATTTACTGTTTCTTCAGCTGTTGGTGTAGTTAATGTTAATGGTTCGATTATATTTAGACGAAAAACACTTTCAACATCTTTTAAATTTTCCATTATTTCATTTCGTACATCTTCTGATAAACGTTCAGTTACATTCGAACGTAATGCTAATATTTCATCTTTTGAATAGCGATATTTTGTTGCTGAAAATTTGAAAATAGTTCCACTACCACTACCACTTGATGTTGGAATAGCTGTTGTTGATTCGGGTGTTGATAAAGCTCGAAGCCTATTTATAATTAAATAAAAAATAAAAATAAAAACATAATGAATATGAAAAATAAATATATCTATATCCAACCATTCTGGACCAAAATTTAATGGTTGTGTTGTATGTTGAGCGACAGTAGTTGAAGTCATTTTTGATAGTTTTCGAAACGAAAATCGATAATCGATTGAAAAAAATATATAAGCGACGCAAAATCTTAAATAATTTAAGAATAGATAAATAAATAAATAAATAAACAAATTTAATATTAAGAAATATTTAAGATTAAAAAATTAGATTTATTAAAATAGAGAACAAAACCAAAGAGAAACAAAAAGAAAAGATTAAATTAATTTGAACACAAGAATATGCTGATGGATGGTTTATTTTTTCTTTTTGGACTGCTCTCTTTTTTTTGTTGTGCTTGTCATATAGTTTATTTACCACTTAAATATGAGAATTCCATAGTTTACTTCGACAACGGATTTTATTTGGTCGAATAGGAATGTAAGAACAATGAATAAACATATGCGTAAAGGAGAAATAGTGAAGGTGACTTGGCGAAAGGGGTCGCCTTTGAACAGGTTTTTTACTATTTAACAACAAATTTTATTTATTAAAAAAAAAACGAATACATTCATTTGCTTTGAATTATATTTGAAAATACGCAGAACTATTAAGAAACTGTTCCTTGCGATAGTGGCGTTAGAAAAAAAAACATCTGTTGATGGGGGCGGAGACCGTCTGTTAATGCTTCTAGAACAGGCTTATGACCCTTTTTATGCGAAACACAATTGTTTGTATCGAAAGGCATTCAATCTTTCTCCTTTGTGATTATGTCACATCTGTTGGAAATGTTATTTTTGCCTAGCATTAAATATGAATAGATAATCTAATGAAAAGAAACAATGAAGTTTTAATCTTGAAAATCATTTCCAATAAAATAAATAAATAAAGGTGAGATCTCATCTTCAATTATGATCAATAAACCGATTGTTTATTGATCTTGTGTAAAAAAAAAAAGAAATGAAAAAAACAACAGCAACGAAAATTTGGAAGCTTTGATATGGCTTCTCCGTTTCTTAGGGATGTTATCAATTTTTAAGGCTGCAGTCAAATCAGAAAAAAATGAATGATTGCTGCATTTTGAAGCTATCTTCATACACAGTTATTCTATTTATTATCATTACAATGAGATAATAATTGTCATGTAAGTCAACAATGAAGAATTCGCAATCTGTATATAGATTCATCAACAACCATGTGAAATATGTTTTTGTTTCTAAAAAAAAAAACAGAAAAAGTAAATTTCACATCCAACGACACAATGTATCAAACAAAGCTATCGTAAAGCAATAATAATCTAGCCAAAAATTTCGAAATTTACGTAAAAAATAACCAATGAAAAATTTTTGAGTGAATTATGAAATTAACCACTAAGAAAACTATCGTGATGATTAACACTTTCGCAATAGCAAATCATTTACGTTTTCCAAAAATTACCAAACACACTATATAGATATAATTTGGAAATTTTTGAAAAGAACATAAATATTAATATATTGTTTTCATTAAATAAAAGATCCTATACTCTAGTCTAGTAATAATTTTGAAAGGTTTTGAAAACTTTTTATAAATTACTTACACTTCAAAAGGTAGTTTTTCTTTTCTTAATGATAAAAGCTGTTGTTTATGTATATAAAAAAGAATATTTCGCAATGTCATGATGTACTGAAATTTCTTAGGTAATTTATGAAAATTTTGAGTAATCGCACGAATCAGTAATATTATGAAGAATATGTTCTTGTTTTCCGTTGGAAAATCATCGGTAATATATAGATGATAATTTTTGTATCTTCTGAAGTTTACTAAGAATTTCACAAGAATTATTGAAATTCATTCGAACAGCTTTTGCTTACAGATATTAAACAGTAAAAATTTTAAAAGAATTTGGGTTTAACTATGTTATGAAAAAAACTGATAACCTGAAGCCAATACACCAAAAAAAATATTGAAGTAGAAAAGGAACAATTGAAGAGATAGGAAGAAATTTACTTCAAATTTCTTGATAGCAAGATGAAATTTCCTGAAAACTTGAGAGTTTTTTCCAGCAAATGGTTTCTATTGTTATAAGAAAAATTATGGAAACTTCCGTACGTTCTTGCTGATATGATTTTTCTGTGGGAGCAATTTCTGAAACTTAAAATTGTTCATGAGAGAAGTCTACATTGTTGGAATCCGAATTCTAATGTTTGATCTGCGTAGTATTATGATCCTATACTCTTGTAATACGGCGCATGCCAAACACTTGAGTATTTGCAAAGACATTGTGTATCAAAGTACTTTTTTTGACGTGATGCGACGAAATATTTAACGAATCGACGGCCGAAGATAGTAAGTAGAATTATTTTTTATCATCTGTAAGTTCGTTTGATATACAACTGATTAAAGTTTTCAACAAAATTAAATATGTGCTATTGATGTTTTTGCTGGAGTTTATTTAAATTTACCGAATGAACAAAAGTCACTTGAAAACAGTTGGCTCCAGTTTAGAAAGTACAGTAGACTTTTTTTTATTGAGGATCAAATCCAGCTAGAAACACACACTGAAGTTATTAATATCTCAAGACGATAAAAAAAAAATGATTGATTTCTTTTTCATGAGTCATATTCAACAAACAAAGCTGTTTTCACGTAGTGTAAAACAGTTTTCAAAAACAATGAATAATTTTTTTAAATTGCTCTACTTTTCAATGATAAATTTAATTTTAATCTAAATCATATTTCACAATAGTTTCTCATCATGATGAATATAATTAAAATAATGGTTAAGTAAATTGAAAACAGGAGTATCTCTTTTTTTCTTTGTTATGATCAAAAGCATAAATAACTTAAGTTTAAGATCAAACAGAATAAAGAAAGAGTGTTATACTGATTTCTAGTAGGAAGAAAAAAGAATAAGAACTAAGGGAAATAGAGAGAAAAAAAGAAGAAAAGAGGAGTTCGTCTATTATACACGAAGATAATTAACCATCCCAATTATAAATTTGTCCTGGTACACGAGGTTGACTACGAGTCTTCTGGTCTTTATTATTCTTAGCTGCTAATAAACTAGCAGTCTGTTTTTCAGCTTCATTAATCGATACAAATTGTGAAGTATTTGATGTAATATTAACAGTTTGTTGTGGTGTTGCTTGTGTAGCCATTCCAGCTGTTAATTGTCTATAGTATTTCATAATTAGATACTGATTATAAAAACAAATAAAATAAATTCTTACGGTTGTGCAGCACCAGTAAGAAGTTGTTGATCAGCTGCATTTGAAAAAAGAACTTGAGGAGGTCCAACTTGACGCCGAGCATCACGCTCAAAATAATAATTTTTACTTAATTTATGAGCAAAACCAGTTGGTAAAAGTGGTGGTGATTGTGTTCTAAAGAAAAAAAAATGAAAAATATATAATAGAAAATAAAATTCATTTAATATGTTTCTTTTTACCGTTTAGACCATTCAAATTCATGTCGTTGATTAGGTGTAAAAACTCGCTATAAAAACGACACAAAAAAAAAAAATTTTCTGTTTTTTGATGTCTTTGAAAATTATATAAAATCTATTCATACAAGCATAAGAAATTGACGTATAGGAGCAAGCCATTTATTAATATCACGTTTAACAACTGGTGCAGCTTTTCCTGCAACTTGTTTTACATTTGAACTCATTATGAATATGAAAAAGAAATCTAAAAAAAAAATCTTTTTTTATTTTCTTTACTAATTTATCAAACAGATAATGGACGGAAAAATGATTTAAAAAAAAGAAAGCTATTTGATATTAAGATGGAAGAAAATGATCATGTAAACTTGTTTGTTGTTTAATATCCTGTAAAAGAAAAAAAGAAAAGAAAAGATTAAATTGTTTTTTTTTTATAGTGCTTTTTCAAATAATCAAACGAACTTTATTTTCCGATGGAAATGTTGAAAATTGCTGAAGAGGTTTTTCATGTAACATATATTGATCAAGTTGATCATAAATTTTTGAAAAATAACGTTGAACTATTTCATTAACAGCATCACATGGTAAATACATTAATTCTAAAATGATTTATTTAAAAAATAAAATAAAATTAGTAAAATAAAATAATAACAAACGTGTTTCAAATGATTCTTCATTATGATTATTTTCAATAAATTTTTCTGTTGGTTTTCGATGTATAAGTAATAAATGTTCAAGTTGTCGATATATATTAATAACACACTGACGTAATTGATCATTTTCAATCATTAATAAACGATGTTTTTGATCGTAATCATGACAAATTTTTTTTAATAATATTCTATTTATAAAAAAAAAATATTTAATCCAAATTCGATTATGTTATATTTATAACATACTCAGAAGAAGATAATGACGAAGATGAGGATGATGGAATTGATTCATTTAATAATAACGGAGATGAATAATCTATTGTTGAAGGCGTCGGTCTAAAAAAAACACATTATCTGTATATTTGTTTCAATTAAATCTATCAAAGACTGATCTTCTAAATATGATATGCATCAGTATGTAAACTTTTAGATAGAAATCTAATCTAATGAGTTGCAAAGAGTCGAAGTGAATGAAAGATTTATGTCATTTAAAAGTCATTTTCCATCGATTCATATGAAGTCTCGTCTGACGAGGGAACATTCTCAAGTGATCTGCTTAGTTTGCTCCGATATGTAAGCGATCGCTACAATAGCGTAAACTTCAATGGGCTTCTGATCATATTTAGATTTGATCAATAGAACGAATTTTCAGTCGATTCTTCTCTTCAGAGTCCAATTTTCGAAAAAAAAACCATATTTAGAAATTTCAATCTGAATTCTTAGTACACATGAAGGTCTTGATTAGACTATCTCATCGATAACGTTTTATTGGTTTTAGATATTGCATTGCCAAGATATAGGTTAGCCTAATCAAGACCTTCGTGTGCATATAGTTTCAGAACGAAACACTCAAGCATGGTTTTGTTCGAAAGCTAAACTTCAGAAGGAGGAATCTACTATAACTCTGTCGTCCTGAACAAATCTTAATATGACTAGCGATTCTTTGAAGGCTACGCTAATTTAGTGATCGTCTACATATGTAGAAAACGAGAATACTTCATAACTGTTGAAATAAGCAACAAAAGCAAAAATTTTCTTAGACATTTTTAATAATAATAGGCTCTCTGTATATGACGGTAATGTAAACTGACTTCAAGCGATGTATAAAGATTTGATGTACAAACGAAGAGGATACATTTTTCATAATGTCAAAGAAAAGTCATAGGTACGAAAAACATAGTTGGAGAGAGATTTTCAGATTTCCAATTATGTAAATAATTAAATTTGTTGTGCGTTTAGATTAAACGAATGATTTTAAAACATCCGGTAGAGTTTGATAGTTTCTAGACTGACGAGGGAACATTCTCAACTGATCCATCACTTTCGAGCTCAGACGCTGTACATAAGGTGACTCCGATGAGATATAAAAAAGTTTACAAGGATATGTCCCCTCAGATCTTCTATTCAGAATTATAGGCATTCTAGTGAAATCTAAGTCTCTAGCATAGTATACGCCAAAACTTTAATGACGGTATTTCGACGTGGGCGTTTGCCTACAAGCAAGTCTATATGTCAGCAGAATACCCCTTCCTGATTTAATAAAACTCCAAGCAAGACAAAATTCTAGCATCTTTTGTTGAATCTGAGTTTTGAACTTTAATATCTTGGAAAGAAAACATTCTTTGAAGTTTAAGTGTTCAGGACATTCTACTGACAAATAGAGCGCCCTGTTGATCAAATCTGAGGTCGAAATAATATCATTCGTTTTATTGGTATATACTATGTCCGCTAAAGCGATTGACCAGTCAAAGATGTTCTTTCATGCACGACCTAATTTCATTCTGCAACCGCTAATTGGTTCGATATTTGCTTCGTCTTGTCACTGTTGACCCCGATCACTGATTCTTCTTACTCATAAAAAAAAATTACTTTGAAAAACGTTGGAAATTTTCAAGTACCCAGCTTATACAAATAGTGTGACCAACAATTGTATTCCTAAAAAACGTATGATTTATATGACTTAGCATAATCATTGTATATCTTCATGTTATAGACAAATAAATACAATCAGTTGATGGAGACGATCACGACCATCCTATTGATTTATATGAGTCTTCAAACTCTTTCTGAATCGCTACAGATTTCGAATTCCTCTCTGTGGACCTACATGACAATTCCTATTTCACTTAAACAATAAAAAAATAAAATAACTATATCTAAACATAGTTTCGAAATACTGAAAACTAATGATGATCATTCATCTTTGTTGATTTAACAGTTTTCTCAAAAGAAAAGGATAGCCTTATCTTACAGATTTCAAATCCCAGTTTACGTATGATTCATAGAGAATGAGCAACAAAATAGATGGTGAAAAGTGCGTTTTCTACTGATCGATTGAGAAAGAAATAAAAAGAATGATTACCGATTTTTTTCAAAATTAAAAATTCTTTCTTTTAATTTATCCATTTGTTTTTCTAATGTTCTATATTGATGTTTAGCTAATGCATTTTGTTGATTAAATATTTGATTTAAGCGACGAATCTTAAAAACCCCAAATAATTAAAATTTCTTATAGTTGAAAATAAATCTATTTATCAAACTTCTTTATCTTTTGTTTGAATAATTTGTGTTAATTGATTAATTTTTGTTATATATCGTTGAATATCATCTGATAAACGTTCTTTTGTAACTTGAAGACAATCAATATCATGCTTAGTGGTATCTTCTCGTTTTTCATATTTTATTTGTTCAGATTCATATTTTTTTAAATTTTCATGTAAAAGATGTTTATCATGTGATAATTTATTATAATTTTTAACTAATTGGCGACATACAGATACAGTTTGATCGATATTTATTATTTTTGGAACAAAATCAAATAAACCAAGTAAACAAAGATCCTAAAATAGAATTGAATTTTATCAATAAATTAGAATTTCTCTACAAACAAACTTCATTTAATTTGATTAATTGTTCAGTATTTTGAGTATTTTCAGTTAAAGGAAGAAAAAAACTAGATGATGTGGATGCAGAAGGTGGCTTTTCTACGACTACAAGTGGTGTTGAACTGTAAATTGGTGGTTCATGTTGATGATTCGTGAGATTAAATGAAGGAGAATTTGAAAATAGATCTAAATCATTCATAATATGATAAAAAAAAATGCGTTTTTTTATCCTCGCTTGTAAAAAAAAAAAATACTTAGATAAATTCTGATTGATCATTATTTAACCAATAAAACAAAAACGAAGAGATTGTCGCGTTTCTGTGATACTTTTGGACTAAAAAACATTTCAGATGATGTCGCTTAATGCTGACACATTTATTTCTTAAAAAGTTTGAAACAGAGCAAACGGGGAAAAGCGAAAATGCCGTACTTCAGTGTACTCCCTGTACTTATAGACTGTCATAACTGTGCGTCAGATCTGTTTAGCTATTTCAAGTCTCCTATCGACCTATGTTACGGTATATTAGCCGGAGTTCAGCCTGCATAAGTCTATCTGACAATAAAGCCCAAATACTTCACCGTACTTCCACTTTAAAAGTACAATGAAGTAATTGGGCTTTATTGTCGGATAGACTTATGTAAGCTGGACTCAGACTAATGTATCGTAACACAGGTCGATAAGAGTCTTGAAATAGCTAAACAGATCTGATGCACAGTTATGGCTTAGTCTGAAAGTACGCTGAAGTACAGCATTTTCGCTTTTTTTCTCCTTGAACAGAACATTTAATAGTAATAATCCAAAGCAGAACATCTTCTATTTCTGATGTGCACATTGCTTAAAAATAACAGAATATTTATAAAGAACGCTAAACTGATTTTTTAGTGATTTTTATAAGTGAAAATTAATTTTCATTTACTTACTGTGAATCAATAGAAACCATTGAAAATGGAGAGAAATAAAGGAAAAGTAAAAGCATCTATTATATTCTAGGGGTTAGAATAATTTCTATTGATTTCTAACATAGAAATCAATTTGATATCTTTGATGGTTAGATAGTATATTTTGCTGAAGAAATTTACATTTTGACATGAGAACCGGAAAGAGCTGCATGTTGTGATTAATTTGAGTTTATATTTATGTGATAATATTTAAAATGAAAAGTTTCATTAGTAGTACTTTGATTGAGTTCGAAGTACGACAATTAAGTACTCATATTGTAAAATTGAACGTTTCGTGAGTACATATATAATAAAAATTTAATAGATACAATCGATTTGAGAATCTGAGCAGATTCGAAAGCGATAGAGTCTTTTCAACCGAGCCGAAATGACTGGTTCAATTGCAGAATACAAGGTCTTAGATTTTCTAAGAGTTACAACTTCTATTTTGGTCTGCAACATTTCATATACGCTAATATTAGACATAAAGAATCAATTCTTTCAAGACTTTTCACCTAATTACTGGCAGCAACGGATGTTGAAAAGCATCTACAGTTTGTTTTGCTTGATATTCTTCGATAAAAACACAGTTTCTTTACCACAAATGATGCGCTTTTCAATCGTATGAGGCACCACTGCTGATAGAGAGACAAAATGAACCTTAAAATTCAATTTTTTTTGCACAAGACTGCATACTTCTAGGTTTCTTGGTACTTCTAGATTCTCTCTGTTTTATGAAACTTGCAGATACCATACCTTCCACAATAGAACACAGTAGTTCAGAAAAGTTTCGAGATAGAAAATCTGTATTTTAGTCATCATATAACTTCAAATGACTAGTTAGCTTTTCGTGGTCATAATCTATTCATGCAGCATGAGTCAAAGCCTTGATGATGCAATAGAAAAGTATAGATTCAACATTCAGAGCTTCGAGTTTGATGAGGACGAGTTAGAGACTTTCAGATTCATATTTCTAGATCATTAAAGCCGCAAAAATCGATAAAAATAGGCAAAATAGACTAGTTTCCGTGCTCGAAAAATTGAAAAAATCAACCGATCCAATTATAAGCATCTTAACCAGAGATATTAATATACTTTCCTAGTTTTTGTGCCGAATAGAAATAAACGTTCTATTTTATAGAAATGAAGTAATGCATAAAAAAAACTCCTATTCAGAACGGTGTAACATCAGTGGTTAGTTAATGAAATCATACATGGATACACTACGTGTTTGTTTTCTGAGTATCGATTTATATTTCTTATTAAGCAAAAAGATATGACAATTATTTTGTGTTTTTAAAATTGTGAAAAATTTGGTTTTTGTAGGCGTTGATACACTCTGACGGCGAAAAGAAAGTGTAATAAAACATTTCGTTTTCGATATTAAGTGCAAGCATTAAACAGTTTCGTAGCTGTGCTTTTCAAAGAAATGCAAATGAAATTCTTCGAATTTTAATATTTTAAGAAATAATTACTATATTCAACTTGAACTCGGTTTCATGTTTATAGATTCTTTTTTTAATAGAATTTTTAAAATTTCTTTACAACAAGATTATCTTGTCTGATTGTTTTATTTTACTGTAAAAACTGATGCATTTTTGAAATTCGAACAACATCTTATGAAGGCCTATGAATATGAAAGAAAGTCAGTTAAATTAGACGCCAATTTTGTTGCTTGCTCGGATGTTTCTATAAGACATTATTGGAATCTTCAATATATACATCAATTTGTATAGCCAATATCAGAAAATAAAGCCCATTATGCAATGAAAAGTTCATATGTTAAAACTTCATTTTCGACAAAAAACTTAGTTGACTCTATGCAAGACTATAATAACAATATATTTCTGATAACTAATTACGAGTAACAATCATAAATGATTATGTCATAAAAATAAATCGTTCTCCAAGAAAAACGTAATTAAATGTAGGACGTTACAGACATTTATTGACTGAATAAATTTAATAGTTCAAGATCAAAGTAAGCACTTAATACAGCCTTGTTATAAATATTATATTGAATGATACAGATTTAAAATTTATACGAGTTTAATAAGATACGAATACAGTTAGGCGAAAGATTTATATTAGTGTTAAAGAATATTTTTTTATGTGATATTCGTCGTCAATTTTAAAATAGAAGAAAATGTCATATTTCAAGTATCTTTATCCGATTGTGTTAATCTATTTTATTAAATTGTGACACGATAGATGTGACAACATCTATATTTAAAGAAAATCCTTCAAAAGTACAAAAAAAATGAACTATTTTTTTTTTATTGACATACATATGTTGATATTTTATGAAAATGAAATTATATCATAAAATGCAATTTATCTCTGGAAGTGTTCAATTAGACAATATATAGAGTTAACAGTATTGAGTAGAAATTTTATTAAGTTAAAAAAAAAGAGATTATGATCATAATCATCGATATATAGGTCAAAAAATAATTAGAATATTTTTAAATTTTCATTTTTATCCATTTTTATCTAATATCAGAAACCCAAAGTACAAAGCATCAATATTTACATACTTCCTATGACTTTACCAATAAGTCATGACGTTGAACGGGAGTGTGTGAGTTATCCCCACACTTTTTATGTCACATATACAAAAATGATAACCTATTATCGGAAAACTGTTCGCTAAATTCTTAGCCTTTCTCATTTCTAAAAACCATGGAGAAAGTTGGAGATCTACGTAATGAAAAAAAAATATGTCATTATTTTTTTTTACGTATTCTTAACGTTAAGCATATTAATTAAATTAGTTTATTGCTATAAGATTGTTATATTAAAAAATTATTTTGTTTTACAATTAAATGGTAGAATTAATTTTCACAAATTAATTCTTTCAAACTTAATCATATAAATAAACTAAATTTATTTAAAATTTTCAAAAATAGTTTCAAAACTTTCTTTTTAATTATTATTTTAAAAAAATCAGATTATTTAAAAAAAACTGCACTCATTTATTTTCGAAATAATTTGAAAGTTTGTTTTTCTTCAATTGTTCTTTATAATATCTCTTGAGAATTTTTTTTTTCTATTGCCTTTGGGTCCATTATCATCATTGTGTGACAAAAAAAAGGTGTGCATTGAATGTTCATCTAAAGAAATTTCTCTTGATAACAAATCAATTGTATAGTCGAAATCAATTATCATCTTTATATGGTGTGATGATGATGAAGTAATCAACACACAATTGACCTATCATCTATTATTTTTTATCTCATCAGTCCATTCGAGCAGAAAATTGATCATGTTTCAATAGAAAAAGAAAACAGGTGAATCTTCACTATAGACAATTGACATAGCGTGTCGTTAATTGAAGTAATAATATTTGAAGTTTCGTTTTTTTTTTGTTTTCTTCTCCTTAGTCGGTCTTTTGCCTTTCTATTAATCTCATCGCGTGCATCTAACTGCTTGCAATATACATATACAAAATTGATCGTCATTATATTCATGATGAATTAGTAAATATAAGAAATGATGGCGACGTCTGTCAGCAATTATTTTATTACATCGACTTACCTTCTTCTTTTTTTTTTAAATACACAGGTGATAAAACAAATGAATCAAAAAAATGAAGACAAAAAAAAATATATATATATAGAAATACATGGCTAATTCATTAAATCATATTTAATATATATATATAGAAAAAAAAAGAAAACAAATCTTAGCAATACAATAGGAAATTCTCTGTTTTTACACATAATTTTAAAGGAAAAAAAAGAAAAGATCTATGTTCTTATACACCTTGAGGCCATATAAGATGATTTTTTGTATTATTTGTTGTTCCAATAATGGCACTCATATATTCTTTTGCTTTAATACGTAAATGAGCAATTGAATTAGCATTATTAGTCGGATTTAAATTTGTTGTTTCATTAATTATTTCATTTGTATCCGAACAAAATGAACCGTATGAATGATGAAATGGTGGTGATGTTGGGTATGTTGATGATGAATAAAGTGATGATACATTACAATTTGTTGGAAAAAATGTAACATTATTTGGATTATGTGTTCCATTTGTATTTGTAGAAAATGTTGATGTTGATGTTGTAAATGGTGAAACAAGCCATGGATCTAATGGTAGTGTTGATGAAATAGGTGATGATGATGATGGATTTGTTGTTGGTCGAGATGTTGGTGGAAAACTTGACATTGGAAAATCAGGATTTATTTTTAATGTACTTGCTTCAGCTTTTTCTTGTCGACGCCATTTAGCACGACGATTTTGAAACCTTTAATTTAATTTATTAAGATTATATTAAATAGAAATTATATTCTTATGTAAATATAATCATATATTCTATTTATCAAAGTCTTTGTTTTTTTTTTCTCAAATTAAATTACAAAAAAAAAAAAAAAAAGAAAAATTTAAAAATATGTAGATTAAAATATCTTACCAAACTTGTACTCGTACTTCTGGTAAACTAATTTTGCCTGCTAATTCTTCTCGATTGTATACATCAGGATAATCTATAACATACACAAGAAAAAAAAGGACTGAAAATTAATTAATATGAAATTAAAAAAAAAAAAAACATCATACGAGATTTTTCAAAAGCTCGTTCTAATTCATGTAATTGAAATGTTGTAAATGTTGTACGATTTCGACGATGTTTCTTTTTTGAATTATGTTGTTGATTTGATAATAAACGATCATCACTATCATTATCATCATCTAAATCTTCAATATCATCTTCTGAATTACCATTACTTTTACTTGTACTCAATGTATCAATTTCATTATTCATACGACGCATTGCTTTACCTATTTTTTTTTTTTTTTTTACAAATAAATCATGTAGAATTTGTTGTTTTTTTTCTTTCTATTATATTACTTACTATCAGGATAAGATTCATTAGAAATTCGTTTTTTATTTGAAAATTTTTGTTGATTAAATTTTGATGATGGTATAAGATGTGAAGAAGGAAATAAATATTGTTGCTGCTGTTGTTGTTGATGATGATGATGATGATGATGATGACTATCGTAATGTTTAATACCTAGAATAGCTTCTATTGAATGAATTGCTTTTAAATCATCATTTGTTGTTGAAACCATTGAAATAGAATTTGTTGTTGATGATGATGTCTTGTTTGTACTACTTTTCATTCTATCTATATTTATATATTCGTATGATGATGGTAACTGTAATAAGAATAATAATAATGATGAGTTTTCTCTTGGCTTTTTTCTTCTTGCTCTCTTTGCGCTACTCTGTTGTTTTTTTAATTTATTTAATGAATAATCTAATAATGACCGTGATGAATGGGGAGTAGTAGTGCAACGACAACGACAACGACAACGACAAAAAAAAGAACGTAAAATGAGCAGAAAGAGAAGAGAAGCAAAACATTAATCAACAACGTCACCCTTTCTCTATGATTGCTCTTTTTCTCTCTCGATTTTTTTTTCCTATTCGTCAAAAACTCAACGATAGGACGAATAGTAAAGGCGGATGTAATTATAGACTGGCACAACCAATGATCATCGTCATTACTTGAACATTTCTGTCAGCAAATTGAATCGATGTGTATTAGAAAATAAATGAAATTTTTTTGCATAGATAGAAGTAATAAAAAAAAATACAAAAAAAAGAAAGGAATTTCATATTAATGGTAAGTATTTGATAATAATCAATAAGAATCAATATTTTCTTATTATTATGTAAACGAAGATATTTATTCAATTAAGAAAGCAAATAATATTTTCACAATTGATGTTCAATTCAAACAAAAATTACATTGTTCTATTCTTAAAATATGTGTCCTTTTAAAAGTTTATTAAGCAATTTGTAAAATCTTTCACCTATTTATTATATATACTCAAGTCAAAGAAAGAATTATCAGTACATTTGAATATTTCATTGGATATGATTTCATTTTCCTTTGTTTCATCAACTAGTCCCATGATGATCACTTAAGTAAAATAGCAAGATAATGCATCATCACGAATTGATTGTCTGTATTTAATGTTGATTAAATTAGCTGAAAACGAATTCGATTTGTTGAAAAAAGAAAAAGACAGACAAGTATCTCTCATTGTTAAACACCGATACATCTGCTGGCATAGATTGAGATTAAGTGGATGACGTCTTTTTTTCTCTCTTCTCTTCTTTTTGATGTGATTGAGTCTACTTGATTTTAATTAGCAGTTTCTGTAAGGACAGTTTTATTTCTCAATCCTGCTGTGTGAAAAGTCAATTAGCTTTAATGAGTCATAGAAGACGCAAGCTCACTTCTTTCATCGTCAAATAAAAATGACATGATGATGAAAGTATAAAAGAATAAAAAAAAAAAAGAAGGATAAAAAAAAACGAAGAAATGTTGTCGTGGACAATTAACATCATTATTACATGTATGTATAAAGCTTTTCTCACCTGATTCTTGTTATCTATAACATGACAAATCGAATAACATGCAATGTACAGTTTTGTTTCATTGATATCGATCATATAATGATAATGTTCTACCGGAAATTTGTCTTTTTTTTTTCTCATTTCGAGATCAAATTTTCTTTTTTCTTTTTAATCAAATGAAAAAAAGCGTGAAGTCTATTTGCTCGTTCAATGATTAGCTATTTCGTTACTCTACTGTTGTCAACAACAATTTCCTGACATGATGTGTGATTTTATATCTTAGTTAATAATAAAGCGAAGATTAAATTCAGTACTATAATCGAATATACACTTTCACTCGTCCATTGATTTGCTAACAAAATTACAGAGCAAAGCTTTTTATTTTCATTAACGGTGTGACCTCTCTCTCTCTCTCTTTCTCCTTTCTCGCTCTCATAATATTATTCTCAATCATTATCAAATTGACATGTTGTCTTTTTTTTTGTATAGTTATTTTATTTCAATTATCGTCAAAATGAAAAGATTCTATGATACATAGGATCTCTTTTTTTTTTTGTTTTTTAATGAAATTATGATAATTTGAAAATGGGTTTTTTTTCTTTTAAGAAAAAGAAAATGAAAAAATTGAAGATTTTTATCGAATGTCAAATTATATAAATTGTCCTTTTTTCTTTCTTTTATTTATTAATAATAAAAAAGCAACGAATGTTTTTGTTAATTAGAACAAAATGAGCAATTGAATTATGATTTTCGTTTTTGATTAATAAATTACGTGTGAAAAAATCCATTCATTTGATAATTAAGTGATAATTAAAATTAATTAGAATTTATTGATATTTTTTTTGTGCTTTAATTGAAATAATATTAGGAACATGTCGATATATATTTTGTTTTTTTTTTTATATGTAATAAAAGAAATAACCTTATAATCAATCTGACTGAGACACATTATCCATAAAAAAAAATCATATATGCATAAAAATGATCTTATTTGACTTAATTATTACAATAAGTGTCAGAATCATTAGTAAGGATTAAACTGATCACTAATGAAACTATTCGAATCTTAATAGTAATAAGACAATCAATAAAGTATAAACTACTTAACCTTTTGATTTACTTTTTTTGTGCTATCTGGATCTTTTTTTTATTATCAATTTTAAGTTACAAATTATAAAATAATCTTAACCTGAAAAAAAATTGAAAGATTTCTTGATCTACATGTACAAAAGTCTTTAGTTTGAACTATTTTTGTTTACTTATAAATCACTTCATAATCTCTATAAATATATATGAAGAATTTTTTTCTGACTAAAAATTAGTTCATTGAGAATAAAAATTTGATAGCAGTCAAGACTAACGTTTGAAACAAAAAAAAAACAACGGTAATTAAAAATGTATCAATAAATATATTATTTTCAGCTAGAACTCAAAAAGAATCAAACTCTTTATTGAAGACGTTCTTATAGTTTGGATTGAGATAGTTTTTAACAAAATACAAAACTGAACTGCATCAAAGATTTTTTGTATACATCATTTTGGTCTTCGTCACAGGTTTGTTTTCAATGAACTAACTTTAAGACAAAAATAAATTCTTAATAGATAAGTATGAAATTTTGATTCTCTTCAATGACTTTATAAGAAGATGAAATTTGACTAGACATGTTTACCAATGTTAATCTTGAAAAAAGCAGCTTTTTGATCGAGTAAATACATATGCATGATACTTGTGCTATATTAAGAATATCTTACAACTAATCTTCTTGTACGATCTAAATATTAATATAAAGTTTGGAATATAAACCATAGATCCCTCTGCACATTAGAACAATGAGTTGGTCCCTCGTGACTATTCAGAAAACTTTTTATGTTAAATTTATAAAAAGAAGACCTTTGTAAGAAAATTTATATACTGAGATATGCAACGAAAGATTAGGACTCTTCTAATGCAAGCAGAAGTTTTGGAAAGACAAATTTTGATGCATTATAACAATTTTAAATCGTTTCAAACAATAAAAATGTAAAGAAATAATTTCTATTTAAAATAAAGATTAGTTGCTATTAGATTTTTCATGGTCAAGAGAAAAAGCTTGGATTACAAATCATCTTTCGTTAGATAGTTTTGTTTTTATAAATTCTTTGGTTATTTTAATTTTATGATCACTTTCATAACAACATATAAATATATTTCATTGCTCAGACTCAAAAGGAAACAAAAAGAATGAAAGAAAAAAAAACTATTCAACATTTGAAAAAATCTATAGAATTTAGATGTTTTATTCTTATTTAATCCTGAACAGCAATCAAATTTTTTCGTACATGATGTTGGTAATGGACTAGTATTTATTTAATTATCTGTTGTAATTGATGGTCTATGTTGTTTAATAGTTGATGGTAAAACTAAACGACTTTGTCCATCTTGCATTGGTAAAAAACCTAATTGACTAACATTTGAATTACGTTTACGAATACTCATTACTGATGATAAACGACGTGATGATGCTATTGACATTTTACGTTGTGATGTTGTTTGTAGTTGACGATTAACAATTGGAATAATTGGTCGTGGATAACTAGGTATAAATGGTATGCAATATGATGAACATATTTGTGGTTCTAATAAATTTAATAATTGTGCTGATTGACTAGTTGGTGATGGCATAATGATAGGAAAAGATTTCGAAGAAACAGGTGATGTTGTTCTACTAATTTGAAGAGTTGGTATAGCTAAAAACAAATATAATATTGATGACAAAAGAAAAAAAAAATCTTCTTATTAAACTTACGTAATTTATTGATATTTTTTTCATTAAAATTTTTTTGTAATGCTCTTAATGCTGCAACAGTTTTCCAATCATTTAAATGTTTTGCTTTATCAATTTTTGATTCAAATAAATTATAAAATTCAGCTGAATTAAATATAAACGGTGATGATATTAATGATGATAATATTGATAAATTAATTTTTGTATTTGTTGTGTTTGCTGTTGTTGTTTTCGATCTATTTATTGTTGTTGCTGTTGTTACTTTAGACCTATTTGTTAGTGTTGTTTTTGATCGAGTTGTTATTGTTGTTGCTGTTGTTTTTAATCGATCTGTTATTGGTCGTTGTTGTAAAAATGAAATTTCTCTTGACATAAATATTGTTGATCGACATGCTTCAGATAAATAATCTGCTATATGATTATAACCTAATTTGCTAGCTAATTCTTCTGGTGTATTATTATAATTATCTTTTATATCAAATCTTATACGATATTGAAGAAGATAATCAACAATAGCATGTACAAGAATTTCATTACCATGTTCAATTGCATAATGTAATGAACATGAACCTGAATGATCACGTTTAAGTATATCAATATCACCTGGATATGAACGTAATAAATAAAGTGCTTCTTGTGTACAATTAAGATTTGTTGCCCAATTAAATAAATTTTTATTATAATAATCAACTATATGTACATCAAGTTTACAATGTGATATTAAAAAATCAAATATTTGTAAACGTTTTTTTTCAAAAAGTGGATCTTGATAATTTTGTTGTTTAAGTAAATGTATAAGTAAATTTTGTCCAAGATTATTTTTTAGATGAAAATTATGACCATGTTTAACACATGTTATTATTTTAGGCATATTACATTGTTCAATAGCTTCAATAAGAAATCGTTCATATTTAAATGACATTACTGCTATGAGTAAAGAAAAATCTAAGAAAGAAATGAGTAGTTTTGTTACAAGTAGAAATACAAGAATTTCTCTATTTGTTGATTTTATAAATAAAATATAAGACGCATTAAAAGCATGTCAATGAGGAAAAAAACATCATGCACGTTAGTTTGACAACCTTGTTATGAACATTTTTATTTCTTTTTAAATATAAAAAGGATTAGGTATTATATTATTATTTTTTCTTTATATTTCTAACGATGGAAAAATAAATCTTTTATATTCACAATGAAATAATAACAAGATTTGACGGCTTCATTCGTTGTACGAGTGTATACTGATGTTTTTTTCCTATCTTGAGTGACGAAAAACAAAAAAAAACCTCTTGATCGATATGCAGACAACAGATTGAGTGCCGCACACTTACTATTTCACAATAATAATCATCATTCTCTCTTTTTTTTATAAGCACATGCTTATATCTCAAAGTATGGATACAAATTTTCAAAAAAAAAATGCCTTTCTTGTTTTTTTTTCATCAAGGTTATATCGATACAGTAAAGATCAGATGTCTTTACATATTTCAAAAGTAACTAAGAAAAAAATAACACTGAAATATGAATAAATATAGGTTAATAAAGCTATGAGAATCAATTGGTAATCTGATAACAGAATATTCATACCGTTCGAGATTATTAGATTCTGAAATACTTTTCTCTACATTTTATATTCATGCAAAGATAGGAACGATCTGAATAGGTAGCAAAAATAGCCGCAAAACTAATCACATACAAAATAAATGACATTATACTATTAATACTAGAAGAAATTTTGAATAATCAATCACAATTATCAATATGTTCTTATAAAGTATGTTAGAATTCATGAAAATTTCTTTTTTCTATACATTCAAAATACAGTTTAATATAATCTAACAATTGATTTGTCATATGATTACAAAACAAGACTTCAAGTTCTTTTATGACTTGTTGAAGATGCACACTTACGCATATATATATTGACAAAAGACAGAAATTTTTTTACTTCACAATAAAAAAAAAAGAAATCTATTGCTTCCATTTAAATATCGACATCAATTTTAAGTAACAAAAAAAAATGATAATTAACTACACTTGAAAAAGTTAAACTTAATCTATTTTACTCACGTATCTATGTATATATTATTAGTTAATAAAAAATCCTACTTATGAATACAAAAGGAAGACTGGACAACTTGTTCCGATGTTTGAACAAAACTAAAACCTTCTTTTTCACACTTAATATTTTTTCTCTCTCTTTTCTTTTTCTTCCCATGTAATCATTCATCAACAAAAATAAATAAAAAAAGGAAATTTTTACAATATATCGAGAGTTAACAAGAGTCATTGTTTTATGATTTCTTTCTTCTTCTTGTCTTGTGCACTCAAAGAATGTCTCTTATATCTTAACAAAAGTAAATATTACGGAAAGGTAGCTGACAAAGAAGAATCAATTCTGATGTTAGATTTTATAATGACAGAGAGAGAGAGTAGGCAAGATAGAAAATGATTAGTCTTTTAAAATGAAATTTATTGTTTGTTATAAAAGACAACATCAAACTGAATTTAAAAACAAAGAAAAATATTCGTTAAGAGAATCGAAAAGAATAAAATTAATAAGAGGTGAAATTATTTTTGTTATTTCCACCTATGTATTAAACAACAAATGAAAGATTTGAACATCAATATATTTTCAATGGTCTTTTTTGTCATTCTCTTTGATATCCTAAAGGAAGAAGTTCTGAAAATGGTAATGTATGTCATTTTAAACTACAACTAAAATGTACATAAATCTTTCAACTTTATCATCAATCAAATTCACAACTATTATCTGTTATTTAATGTCGTACACGAAAGCGATAAAAATTTAGGAATGACGATAGGTTATTATGAAAACCAACCTTTTTTCATTTATCGAATATCCGATACGGTTTTATCGACATTCTCTTGTTAGTGACATGTAACAAAAAGCTCGAAAAAGTCTCAAAGATGGTCATGAGCAGATCCATGAGTAGTCATAAAAGAAATACCAAGTATTCAGAAAATTCTCTATTATGTCAGAGCTTGGAAAATTATTTTATTAATAATTTTAGTAAAAAGCCATATTTTGAATTTTTTCTTGGTAATCGTGGTGCTATGGTCAATTATTGTATATAGTATTATTTTATTGATTACTTATTGTGGTTACGTATTCTAACAGTTCTGTCATCAAACTATAAGAAGCGACGGATTTCAGAATAGTTTTGTCAGTGAAATTAATGACCATTCATCGATGACCCCCTAGTCTAAGAAAAGGAATTCTGCATAAAAAATCGATTAGTATAATTAAATATGACTATATCGTAGAGTGATGGGAGATAGTCAAATTTGTAGAAGGGAATCTTCGCTCAAAAAGCTTGATAGTTCGTTTTTCAGATATGATCAAATAGTTTGCATAAGCCTTCACGAAACATGATGAACGGCATTCATCACTAAAACAAGAGATATCATAGGAGAAGTTGTGAAACGATGAAGTCGATCTTTCTTTGATACTGAGTTTCTTATATTCCTAGCAGCCAGTTCAGATGTCACAAGTGGATTGCTGTTCGAATTCGACCGCTAGAGATTCATTTTATTTGCATGTGGCTGACACAAAGCGTTATACAATCGATCTCCTTTAGTGTTATGCCATGGAGTGTCTATATATAAACTTCGTCAACGTTTGTCAGCTCTTTTAATTCTACTTAAATATCGAATGACATTTAGAAGTATAGCAAAATATTATTCTTTCCCTTTTTCTTTTAGATGACATTGTTTGCTTGTGCTTACCATATGAGGACACTCATAGTAGAACTCCTTCACTATTGAATTGTGAAAGCAGAAGTTCACTTAGAATTATAGATCATTCGATAGGTTTTTCAAAACTATACATAATCATACTACTGCGTTAAGGTTACTTTATTTTTGGTCAGAATAATCAAGCTTCCTGTCAAAAGCAAGAGTATACTTAGACACTGCATAAAAAACTGAGTTGATCTATATTTGTCACAATATCCTCCGACAACTTGTTTTGGTTCAAGAATTCATCCTTAGTGCTTTCAAGATAATGTCCAAAAATAAAGTCAGGGTTACGTATTCTTGGAAAAAATACATTCTATCAAGTAAATTTAGTTTTTATTGTAAAAACAATTTTACTTGGTTTATCTTTTAGATTAGACAGAACTGTCTATTGCCATCAATATGGTATTGATCAGAAGTTCTTGAAACACCTTTATTTCATTTTCAATTCGATATTTGACCATTTGATGCTTCTGTTTGGGACACTATATCCTATGAACAAACACTTTATTAACAAGTAATATGACCTTATTCGTTAAAAATTTATTTATTTTTTAATGGCGATTAGGAACTTCAAACAATCAAAGATGTAACATTTGATTCAATGTCTCAAAAACTACTGCAAGTTTTATGTAATGGCGATCGTTTAGAAAAGCTTTCGAATTATCCAAAAGCTATTTATGATTTCATGTTCAAACTTAAGGAATATGAGTAACAAGTTATGGTCTTCATTATTTTCTTTTTATTGTTTTCTGTCTATTAAAATCTTTTGGCAATGGACGTAAACGACCGACATTTATTTGGGTAAAATAATATCTTAATAAATATGTCTTTTCTCAAGATCAATAAATAGATCAACATGATCTTTTCTAATATTAAACATAATAAAGAATGAGTATTTTGAATCATTCGTAATTCAAAGCAAGAAAAATTGGATAAAGTTAGACAGTATTGGATTGCGTTCTTTTCTATAACAAATAATCAAGTAATGGAAACCTGATAATTAAGGAAGTAATTAAAAACATGAGAGGAGAACATGTTTTCTAATCAACATTTGAGGTTTCGGAAAAAGATGATTGGACTTCTTAAACAGAGCATTCATGGTTTGATTTGTAAACTAACAAGCATTTCTCTACTTTATAAAGGTTAATCATAGAAGTAATTGAAGATAATTAATCGATTAAAACTTTTAGGTCGGAATGAAGTATAAATGTATTTATCGAAATCAAGAACACAGGTTCTTCTTCAATGATTTCTAAAATTTGTATCTTAGTCACCTATTCAATTGACTTGTCAAAAAAATTAGTCTAAGGCTTGGGTCTGTTATGATAAGTTGAATAAATGATGTCATTCAGTTGATGATAAGACTATCTGCATGATTGCTCTCAATTAATTTTTAATGTTTGACCGATATAGAAACAAAAATTCATCAATACTCGAATGATTTACAATGATTGCAGATTACATTGAGTAAATATGTTATTGACAGCACATATCAGTTTCGAAAACATGTAAACTATTTTCCTTATTTGAAAAGGAATGGAATGTTTTCGACATTTCATAGAAGGGAAGACATAATCTAGAACTTGATTTTCGCTGATCAAAACAGTACGTACGTTGAGTCAACTTGCTCACATCTATGGATGACTTCTTATTCGCATCTAATTAAAGTCTTCTAGTATCTACTCAGAGCTGGTTTCATTTTTTCCCCATAGCTGAGTAGTAGTACACTATGTTATTACAAAGTTGTCAGTTATAGAAATTTTTATAAATCAATGTGTGAATGATTATGGCCGTTTTATTTCAAAATGCAGAATTTTCAACTAGTTTCGATCGTAGAACATGAAGTTTACGCGTTCAAAAGAGAAGAATTGCAAGCGAAATCTATTCGTCTTGTGTTAGTTATAGGTGCGCTAATAATATTTTTTCATTTGGATTGTTGCACAAGTATTTATTTAGAAATCAGACTACTAATAACTCCTTTGCGTAGTTACTTACCATCATAAGTACTCTTTACTTGCGATAGGAAAGGAAATTCAATTGTTTTAGTCGATGGAGGGCGGAAACGGGAGATTGCTTCACATCACTAAATGAGTTCATAATGATTCTTTATATAGGAAGAAATCATTAGTCGTATGTTATTTTTTGAGAAACGCACAGGTTTCTGCTGTTGAAATCAATGATATTTGGTTTAGTGTAAACACAATGTATTATCGATTTTCACGTTGACCGAGTCATCGTGAAATTTGATTTCTATCTATATGCACAGATAAAAAGTATCTGTCTGTAGAGTTAATATCTACAAGCTTAGTATCACTTTGGAGGCCTTAAGTTCGAAAATATTTGACGTAGAATCAGGATATTTACGAGTTGCTTATGAGATTGACCATAGTTATCGTTCACTTTTGGATCTGATTCGATTAGAAAACCCCAAATCATCACTGAGACAAACTTCTATCTCATCAGAAACTCCTATTCAATCGAATAACAGATACAAAAGACTTCAAAACTCTGAGACGCATTGCTCAAAATGTAATACCATTAAAAAGTGAACATTGTGGGAATATCCTATGCATAAATGATTTGGATCTCATGCTATAGTGATAATTTGAATGTGCATGCAGCGATGAATATATTTCTTAGTTCTCTGTGTGTCACATGTAGGAATTTGCATCAATATTCATTTTTTCCAGCACAGATTAATTTTCCATCTTAAGATGAACAACAATTTTCTCAAAATCTTAATTACAAATATCATTTCTTTTGTTTTAATAAAATAAGAGCATGGACAAGTGTTGTTAATCGTGCTCCAATAAATTTCGGAAATGTTACACTTCTTCCAATGTAAGCAATTTTATCACAAAAATAAAAAAAACTGAAAAAATTCTAATTGATGAATTCGACACACAAAACCAATCATACAACGTACACTATAAACATCAAAATACATCACTCATTTAACAAAAGTGCCGTTAGACCACACTCCCTCTTCGATTTTGCCATTAGCATACTTCATTTTGCCTCTGCCATCTATTTTGTTGTCTCTAAATTCTCCCAGTAAATGTTCTTTTGTTTCAAAAAAAGAATACCACATCAGCGTGAGACAAAAAGGAACAGACTGACGAGTAATTTTTGAATATCTCAACTCGTAACGATCACCATTAGCCCAAATATAGACACCTTGACCTGTTCTTACGTCATTCACCCAATCGCCTGTATACTTGCTGCCGGGAAAATTAGAATTCGGTCCCCAAACAAATGTACCTTTCCCATGTTTTTTGTCATCTTTGTATTGTCCCAATAACTATTCTTTTATTGCATAACAATGATACTAACTGAAGATGAAGCAAATAAGCATACACCGATGAGTGATTTGTGAATACCTCAACTCATAGCGATTACCATTAGACATAATGTAAACACCTTGACCTGTTCTTGCGTCATCAATCCAATCACCTGTGTACTTGTCACCCGCCCATTTAGTATTTGTTCCCCAAATAAGTGTGCCTCTGCCACTTTTTTTGTTATCTCTGTATTGTCCCTCGTAACGATTTCCGTTAGACCTAATGTAAACACCCTGACCTGTTATTACGTCATTGACCCAGTCGCCTATGTACTTGTCACCAACCGCATAATCCATTTTTCCTTTACCATGCCTTTTACCCTCTTTCAATTCTCCTTCACCATTATTCTGTAACTGCGTGTTATTTGGGTATCTAACTCTGCAACAGTAAATAAGCCTGTATAATATATGAATTGCTGTTTCATATCTGTTTCCAGATTTATCAGTAACGACTTGAATATATGAAGACAGAACAGGTTTTGTTGAAGGGATAGATTCAGTTTTTAAAGATGTCACTCCCATAGCCTGGAAGTTGCTTGTGAGTTGGTCTTCGTTTTCATCAATAACTTCTTGTAAATGGACTATATGCATAGGTGGTTGATCAAGAGGATCACTGACAACACGAAGACGAGTGCCTGGACAAAGAATTACTTCACTCTCACTTGGAAAATTGGTGTATCCTGAAATATCTTTTGCACTCACAGCTTCGATCAAGAATAAAGTTGAATTAGATCCGAGAAAGTCTTTAATGGTATTAACTGAAGTTGAACATGAACTAATGGTCCACCAAGTGAACTCATCTCCTTTTTTGAAGTTCTTCGCTATATCTTTTGCAACACCACGCCATAGATTCTTTCGAACAGTAGGTAATTTTTGTACAGCTGTATCAAATAGCTTAAGGTAAGCAAACCATGGCTTTAATGATGATCGATCTTCAGCACGCAGTGCACGATTAACTACTTGGTATAAACTATCCTCACCCCATTCCATTGTATAGAGAAACACAGCAGCTGATTCATCTCGAGTAAGGCCATGTTCAGAAGGAAAGTGACATTCATTTTTAGCTATTTTACTAAAACGATCCAGTTGATTGATCTGAGCCGAAACTGGTTCGAGAGCTTTCTGTAGAGGTAAGAGTTGATGCGCTAAGTATCCATATACTGGTGTAAGTCGTTTTGGAGTTGATTCTATATCAGTAAAGCGATGCATATTTCAAATGCAGATCACTAATTTTGTACAGTTGCTTTAAGAAAGAAAATGCAATAGTTGAAACACGTGCTTTTTATGTTGTTGATTACTAGAAAGCTTCGAAAATGAAATTGTTGTCACTTATAACTCGGTTTTTATACGTCCGCTCTTTTGATTCTGTGAAGAAAAAAGAAAAGCTTTTTGTGGTGTATGTTGTAGTATGTTTACGCACTTAGTTGACAGCATAGTTCTTCACGAGCGAGTTTTTTTCATCAGAGCAGCAAGAGAAAGAAAAGAATTATCTTGGAAAGACTTTTTTTCTTCATCATACTGAGTGACGATGCAGTTAGTGAATGAAACATGTTTTTTTTTTACATATAAATAACACATATTCCTGAAACATGTCTTATCGAATATACATGGCTCAAGCATTTTTTTATTTAATAAGTATTTGATTCAATTGATACATAGAATAGAAATTAGTAACACGTACCAGTTTTACAATTGCAATTAGTAGATCCGCTGTTAATGTTAAACTATTAGAAGAGTATACTTTTCGTTACCTCTTCATATTGTTGCACTTGCACAAAAAATTAACTCTCATAAAATACTCTCAATTAAATAGGGATATCTATAACAGTGCTTTGAATTCATTTTTATAGTTGATTTTCAATTGTGTTAATGAATGAATCAGAATATGACAAGACAAAAATAATTTGTTGTCAGATGACATTTTGTTGCAATCATCTAAATATCGAATATGATGCCTAATATATAATAACATGTTTGATATTTGACTTATAAGATGAAATCTTAGTACAAATTAAAAATTCGTTGAATTTAGTTTTTCTGTCATTGCTAGTTTTTCAAAATACTTTTGATTAGAGATGACTTTTTGATGATGTCACACGATCAGATTTATTTCTCTAAAAGAATATTTCTTCTGATTATCGGCATCCGAAGTCATTATTGAAAGTTTTCTATGTTGTTCTATGAAATCTAGTTATACTACTTTAGATGCATAGATGTAAAAAAAAAAGAGATGAACGTGTTGCGAAACTTTTCTATGATCTTTTAGATTCATCTGAACAATATTATTGGTCTCTTCCTTTTTTGACTTTTCTCTATTTAGTAATATTAAGCTATTTTTTATAAGCAAAAAAAAATCCAGACAATACAGACATTTATGTTTTTCAGAGTTCTATAAACTATTAACAATGCATGTTAAATAATAAGAACCATTTGTAATTGTATGGAATGTTACAACCACATAGTCTAAGACTAGTTTGTTAACTTTGAAAAACGATTGCATACTAATCATGTTATACTTATGCGAATCATCGCTGTAAAAACTTATTGAGAAAAATCTAACAAATAAAAAAGGACATTGAGAAGATAAGCAAAGTGTTTGAATGTAATCAACAACATTCAAGCGAAGTTGTTATAAAGAACGAAAGAACAAAAGTCATATTTTCTCCAAAAAAAAAAACTTAAGAAAAATCCTTTGCTGCATCTATCAAAGCTCGATGGAGAAATAAAAGAGCTGCTGTATAAGGTAGATTGTAATAATGATTAGACAACATTTCAAGATAACTTGATTATTTCATCGATCGATGTTCTACTCGAAAATCAAGGAACACTGCTTTGCATAAAGTAACACATCATTCTCATTCAGGTATCAGTTGATGACTGCCGTACTACCATGCAAATGAAACAATTTTAAATATCAAGCGCCACTGAAAATCATTTTGTGACCAATAAACTTGAGATAGAATCGATGAAATGACTTGATTCACATTTTAATACTTCTTAAACTGCATATGAAAACCATGAGTCGTTGAAACAATGAATCACGAAACTACGATAGAAGAACTTGCTACAAGAGATTTATTTTTCTGCTAATTCAACTCCAACTTGTGTGAAAGATGCTATACATACAATCCATTGCATTATTAAAAAACACATATTACCAGTTTTTCACTATGTTAAAACAAAATAAACTCATTGTAAGACAAAAGCAAGTGCTAATGAATTAGAAATAGATTAACTAATTGATACAGATGCATACGTGTCAAAATATATGTGATATATAGATGTCTCAATAATTCTTATAATTGTTCTTTATTTAATTATTTCTCAGTTCTTCTGAAGAACAATTTATTTTTCAAGTAGATAATAACAAAAATTAACTTGTTAGAGTACAACTTTTTACGACAGCTAAGTTTTTGAAAATAATGGGACCCTTGTTCGAGATACATTTTTGAGCGAGTACTTACCGTATTTTTTTAAATTAAAAATCAACAAATTGATATTTTTTGAAACGAGTAAAAGTGACTATGAGACTTTGTCTCAGACACCTCCCAAAAAGAATGTTAGCCAGATCGGTCAAAATAAGATGAAAATCGTAGGTAGGTCTAATGTTTTCTTCGAACAACGATCATATCATTTTCGATAATCTAGTTGTGATAAAAATTTGAGCTCCACTGTTTACACGCTCGCGGAGAGCCAGAAGTGGTTCAAAAGAAGGTATATACTCTGAAAGTAAACCCATAAGTAATATATCGTATTTTTTTGCTCTTTTTTTCATGGTCAACAGATAGCTATTAGTCACCATTCAATAACCGATAATCCTATGCTACTATCTTGTATCCTTGATCTCTCAATAACTACTATTATTTATCGATCGATTGATCAATATCGACTTTCTATACAATATCCATTTATTGTATATTGTCGTTATACTCTGTTTTATTTCTTCGAACATCAACACTAATCCTAATTCATCCATTCTTGTCTTTATATATCCTCAATTCTATCATATGACTATTTTATTTTTCAATGAATTAAAAGCAATTTATAATATTTTATCACGAATCATCAATAATTCTTTTATCACATATCCATGTCAATTATCATTGAATTTTCATTATAATAAGATTTAACTGAAATGATTGAAGTAGAGAAATTAGAGAACAATCATGAGCTTTAGATCACTATCATATTATTCTTTATATGTAACTTAAGATTTTAAATATAACCTGAAAAAAAAATGTTAACTATTTCGTAATATTTAAATCTTTGATCATAAAAGAATTTGTTACTTAATATATAAATCTCTTATTTGTTAACATGTAATCATTTATTTCGTGTTTTTCTAAGATATAAAAGGATTTTATTGTTGATCTCATTATTTAAGTAGCAAACCATTCATTGAATATTACTGAAAGTACACGTAGTCAATGATTACATTTTACATTCTAATTGTCGATGCACGTGCCTATTCTTTAAACATATTTATCATCAAATTTTCTTTTGCCTTGAATCATATGTCTAGACACAAGGATCGAAAGAAATAAACAAATAAGAAAACAAAATTGAAGTTTTAATATCCTATTCATATTTTTCATAGATACATATTAAGAAATAATACTCGATTTTCAATCAATTAGTTACAATTAATTTGAATTAAAATAATTTGATAACTAAATTTGAAGAAAAAAGACAGAAGAGTCGTTTACTTATTAGATTCTTTTTTTTTTGTTTTATTTCTGCAAAGTAATTAATTCTCTTTGGTACAATTCATATTATTATTTACTCAAGTGTTAATAGTGAGAACAAGAACATCAATGATAAAAAACAAAATCATATATAAATGAGTGAAACAGAACGAAAGAATGACGACTATATAGTAGTATAGATCTAGTTCCCTTTCTCTTCTTCATGTGTAGGATTAATCTATACATTGATGGTGATCTTTTTTGTCTATGACATGTTCTTTTTACTTGTCTCATTGCTTTGTTAAACATGCCGCTATCGACGCCGTCATCGTCGCGTCATTTCTCTGTCAAAGTTTGTTTCAAGAAAACATATGCAAGTATTAAATATATTTAACTAAAGACAAAAGTCAATTCATTAATTTTGACCTAATTACAAGTCGACGACCTAGAAACAATATTAAATAGAAATCTTCGAACACTTGTCATTACATTTCGTCTATCTTAACAGACAATTCATACGCAATAAATTATCATTCTTCACATTAACAAGTAAAAAAAAAACTACAAAAAAAATTCTTTTCATCTATTATGTTTTACATATCAATATGATGATTAGACAAATTATTTGAATTAATACTTCATAATATTTTATGACACACAGTATTCAATAGAAAAAAAAATGACGAATTTCTATATAATATTTCTTTTTGTATTTATCTTTTTTATTCAACAATCAATAACACAAAGTCCACCTGTTGTACCGTTAACAAGTAAATTAAAGAAATTATATTTTTATGAATACTATTTTTTTTTTTATTAATAGATGCTTTAACAGCTATTTATTGTCATAATTCTCATGAAGCCGGTATAATGACAATACATTGTCGACCAAATGAAAAAATTCGTATGTTAGATGCATTTGATGTTGTTGTCAAAAATAAATCACGTTTACCATTACAATGTTTAAAACATAAACATTTTTCAATGGTTTATGGTGATAATTCTAATTATGATGATTGTAAAGTTCATACAAGTTTTACATCAGCTTGTTCAGGGCGTGAAAATTGTACATTACATATGCAACCTATACGTTTGAATAGTGCTAATAAGAATTGTCATAATGAATTAGTTGATTATACAATGGCTTTTTTTGAATGTATATCAGGTACGAAATTTGTTTTAATATGTTTGCTTAAAACAAATGACACTTAAAAAAAAGAAACTTACTTTCTATAGTAGAATGTAATCAAAAATACGTTGTTCTTATATTTTTTAGTCCCTATGTACTATATTTAAGATGATTTTTTTTTATATAGATGCATTTATTCATGATGTATGTTCATCACAAATAATAACTTCTTCTTGGGGTACATTAAAAACACCGAATTTTCCAAATCCATATACATCAAATGATGATTGTTGGTGTAAATTATCAACACAATTACAATATCGTCTTTTACTTTCTGTTATTATTTTTCAATTGATTCCTTATGATCGTTCGTATTTGATTTCATATAAAAATAA